GGGGGAGGGGGGGTTGAATCCCTCTCCATTCGGGTTTGGACTTTCGATATGGTTATTATCATAATTCAAGCATAATTTTCTTGTATCAAAACCTATTATTAAAAATAAATACAACGCATCTTAAGAAATAAGAATCAATACGAATTCTTACACCATATTACAGTCAATGGTAACCTTTTGGTACCAAATCGTCTTTCACCAACACTCAACATGATTGAGATTCACCATATATAAATTATAAACCATTATCATAGAGCATCTTTAACAGATTCTTCAAAAAGATTATCAGATGTCGCTTTCATTTATAATAACTTTAATCGCACAATGGAGATTTTTCTCTAATAACAGATTCCATAAAATCTTCTCCCACACAATGGAGATTTTTCTCTAATAAACAGATTTCTCAAAATATGCTCTAAAATGAAAAAAGTATGAGGGAGATGATGAAATTCTAAATTTGTTGATTTTTCTAAAAATGATTACTTATGGGAGAAAAATAAATTTTCATTTATTAAACCAATGAAATTGTTTGAATAAAATGTTTAATAGAAAGAAATAATATTTTATGAGTTATATTAAATACTTAATAATATAATTGATTGAGTAATCTCCAAAATCGATAATTTGTTAGAGATGAAGACTATTTTTTTTTTTAAATTTCAATTTTTTTATTTTTCCATTTTAAAAAATATGTTGAAGATACTCTTATTTGAGACATGAAAGTTAAAACGCTACAGATATTGATGATACATTGAGAATCAACTTAATACTTGTTCTTTTTTTTTTGAAGTAAGCTTAATACCTCTTCTTGTTCATTATAATGTTGACAACCCGCCAATAAATTTTATCTTTTATTATATTACGAAAAGAAATTAATCATGGTAAAAGTTGTCGTCCTCACTTACCGGATAAGATTCTTAATCCTTGATATTATTAAGTATTTGGTAAACGACCCCTTGATGTTATTAGATCGTTTTATTTGACCATCATATAAAATATTTTTCTTAATGTTTCGGTAAATATTTACTAAAGTAAACTCCACTTTTGGTCCATATAGTTTCATCGAAAATATAAAATTGTCACCTTGCTTTAATAGATTTGGCTCTAAAACCAATCCTTCTTTTATCTCTTTAAAACGCAATCTGATTATTTTAACCTTATGTCACAAATTGTTCCAAACTCTAATTTCATTCCTCAACTCTGGAGCAGCCTCCGACGAACCACACTAGCAAGCCTCGTGTCTCTCCTCCCTTCAACCCTATGCCTATGCCGACACCTCTTCTTTCGAAACCACAAAAAGCCACCTAAACTTGATGATATCATTGGGTTCTCCGGTTTCAGCTTCCGAATTAACATAGATTGCATGTAAATTAAGCATACACATACAGTTGATGAAACCCTAATAAGAAATAACTTGATCTTACAATAATCGAATGCATATGATACCAATTAATAACACAACACACCGTTCCTATAAATGTTGTATTGCATTTAAAACACAAGATGCATTTGGACAATAATTAAAAAGAAGCAAGGATTTTGGAGTGAAAAGATGGCATCATACAGAATCTTTATTTGAGTGCTTGGGACAGAGAGATAATGAAGTCACCAAACAAATTCACCCGATAAGAATCCATCATGTTACCCACCACCCACCCCTAACAACTTACTTCAATATTACAAAATTTATTTTCAAAATCGGAACCCCTTCCGTATCTAAGACTTCCTCAAAATGATGTATTAGTGAACACATATCAAGTGATTACCACAAAAGATGCATCTATGTACTTTCTTATACCTTTGTTTCTTCTTATTCTTTCTGTTACTAGAAAAGGATTTATTAAGAAATATAAACATCTCTAATTTTGATTCCGTGAATTTAGAAAAAAAAGCAGTTTTGGTGGCCGTACGTTATGATGATACCCAGCTAGAGACTGAGCGATGGTCAACTGTTGATGTGGCGGCTCATGAGTTTCTCCTCCTCGGTGAGAGCATGGCGGAAATGACAGCGGTGGCCATAAGGGCATGGGTCTCCTGCAAGGACCATTCGACAGACTTCTGTTTTGTAGCGTGGATGGCGAATGACTGGGCGAAGTTCCTCAATGCCGTGAGCAAATTGACAGTGATCTCCATAAGGGCAGGCACCAGTTTGTTGCCATTTGTTGCATAGTTCAGTCTTTGTCATACCCTGGTTGTATACTTGGAGTTCCAGTGGTTCCTCCTCTTTCTTCCCACGTACATATACCCTTTGCTATTTGATTTTGAACAACATAAACATGAAGAATATAAATAATTCAACAATATAATGGTTTTTTGGATCAGGTGGCACATAAAGAAAAATTTAAGAACATTAGTAGTCACCATGGAACAATGCATAAACAAGTGACAGTTTTCTTGATCATAGCTGTATGAGTTGAAATTGAGATAAGGATTTATGGAACAAACAAGTTGCATGACTAAACTTGTGAAGATCAACTGGCCAAAACAGATTTTCAGAAATTCTTTCTTCTTTATAGTTTTCGGCTAATGAAATTTTACAATTTAGGGTATAATTGAGTTCTGTTTCGCTATCGAAACATAGCAATTTATCTTACAGTTAGAGGTAGAAAATGTCAAAGATGACAAACATACAAATCTTTTTATGAAGCGTATACATTATTTCACCCCTTATGAAAGATAGCAAGATTTTTGTAAAATGTTATTCTTGTATTAGAATATTCTTTAATCAATAGAGAATATAGTGATTTCCAAATGATTCAAGTCTAGTTAAATGATCTATTTGAACTGAAGTAGCCATGTATCAAGAACTGCTAAATATGTTGCTATTGAAGTTCAAGAATGAGCACCGACTCTGATTCAATTGACTGAATTGTAAAGAATCGTCTCATCAAAATATTTCAGTTACGAAAAGTATGTAATCAAAAATCAAAATGGACACAAAGTCAAGACCCGTACCTACTCAATCGTCTACTATTGTTAGTTAATTACTGGTTATGTGATTAATGAGACATAAGAAAACTTTACTTTCAGATGTAAAGGTTTATGAGAAATCAAGAGCGGTCAATTCAGGACCAGAAATACAAATATTTGGTAGTGTGTCAGTGAAGTTCCTTACACTTGAAGTCATCATTATAAACAAATTTTAAGCAAAATTGGGGAAGTCAAACAGGGGTTAGTATTACCGTATCGGAAGCGGCTTTTACCCGATCCGCAGAACGTGCCCGACCAGCACTCCCGTCACCGGCTTGAACCGTCTTCAAGTACCCATTGGATCGGACAGAAATACTTTTCGGCAACTTAACCCGCTCCACCTCCGTTTTCTTAATCGGATCCACGTTTTCCACTCCACGGGCCGCCCGTTTGTCAGTTGCCGGCGTTCCTTTATCTCCAATCCTCATCCGTCCAAAACAATCGACAACGGAGTTCACTGATGGAAATATAGTCGCATTAGCGTAGTTCTGTAGAGTGGAAGCCGAAGCCGCCTGTTGTTGCAAGTGAGACAGCTGCTTGTTTAGTTCGGAATTCGCCATTTGAAGGTTGACGTTCTCTTGGCGGAGCGCTTCGGCTTCTTTGGCAGTGAGACGGAGGTTAGAGAGGCACCAGTTACGTCTGTCGATGAGGTCTTGAAACGGCGCAAAATCCAGTGAATGCCTGCGGCTGTAATCGACGACGATTGGTGGTAGTGGTAATGTTGTTGTGTTTGAAGTCACAGAGAAGTGATGAGGTGGAGTACTAGTAGGAAAAATAGAGGAGTAGAGAGAGGCGTCGTAATCATCATACACGCCGCCGTCCGACTGTTCGATGAACGACGACCAGAGTTTACTGTCAGCGTCGCCGCTGTAAGGAAAATCGGTATAATTCTGCATTTTCTGAATAAATTGTTCTCTGTAAAGAAACAAAATCAACGACAACCGAATAAGTACAGTAAAATGCTTACAATTTTTCCCTTGCGCAAACCAATACGAACTAAAACACACACACTCGCACTCACGAAATGATCATGACTGAGAGCACGAACTACTAACAGAACAACAAATACATTAGATCTACAACATGATTGATTTTTCAATATAAAATCAAGACGTACATCATCTAGTTACAAAGTTTAACGATTACTCGCTATTGTGGTCAGCATGAGCATATCAATTCCGCAATTAATTCGAAAAATCAACGCAAACTAACACAGAGAACATATGAATATACCTCAAATCATAAAGACTGAAAACATGTAAGCTGATTACCTGAAACTAAAAACAGCGTCTGTACAGTGAAATTGTTGCTTGATTCTTGTTTGAAGAATTGAATCAGATGGATAAATTCTTGATTAATCTAGAGAGAGAGGGGGGGAGCCATGAGAGAGAGTGAGAGAGAGAGAGAGGGAGCAGGACGAACTACATGCTTCTTGCAAGGAGTTAATAAGTATCTGAATCCGTTATCGTGTAACGGAATGCATCCAAGGGATCTTGCAAAATTCCCATACTTAACCTCATAAAAGTTCAAAACATAGACAAATTGAAAAGGGCAGTTTAGTCAATTTATATCATAAAAGTTGTTGCCCTGCTGGTTTTCTAATGGACCAATTGAGTACTAGTTCTAGTTGCACCATGTGATTTTGGCGGGAAGCATATGTCAAGTTTACACATACTGCTTGTCAAATCCTTTTCTATTTTTCTGATTTTAAAACAAAGAAATCCAATTACTTTTATAAGTTAATGAAGGTTGAGTTATTACTTTTTACTCAAATACTTACTCGATAAATGTTTATCTATATAATTTAACATTATAATTTATTTTGATGAGTAAAATTTTAGTACATCAAAACGTATTGAATACAATAATTTATCGGATAAGCGCTTACCTGAGTAAGAGTCGTAATCTTTATTTACCGGATAAGACTCTCCATCATTTTCATCCCTTTTTACCCGGTAAGATTCTTGGCCCTTGTCATGTTCATTCAGTAAGCAGTTACCAAGTAAACGTTTAGTAAACGGCCCCTAATATCAAAACTTACTTTTTATATTTATAATACTACAATTTAGTTGAAATATGGCTTATTTTAGATTCAGTAAAAAATAAAAAACTAAGTAACATATTGGTAACCATTTATCTGAATTGTATGCACATTTGCATACAAATAATTTATAAGCAATTTGTCTGGTATGCACATATATATACATGCCGTTTTTGATATTATATAGATCCTGGATGAGATGTAAAAGTTGACATTCGATAAGTACGAAAAAATCTTCAACACATTGTTTTTATTATAAAAAATAGCATTGAATTCAATAAATACTAATAATTCATAAAAAAATTTGTTTTTTCTAGTATTCCCAAATGCAAAATCAATCAATAATTATTTTTAAATTAAGATTATCTATTATATCATTTTTATATAACATCATCAATCTGTTCCACCGTCAAAAACATCTTATAATATACCTTTAATATATAGATTGATATCATTTGAGGTCACCATGTTGATTATCCGGAATAACACTCTATGTAAATCAATATAAATCAGTTGAGTTTCCAATTACCTTTTTAAAATACTTTCTTCTCAAATATAACTAATTAATACATGTTTGGGCCTATAATCTAATACCAAATTCTTTTTGGTTTTCTACTTGATAAGTTGATAGTAAAAAAAAAGTCTATTTTTTTTTACTGATTTTTTAAATTACTACCATATATTAAAAAAAATTAGGCCCCTATTTTACTTGTGGGCCCTGGGTGTGAACCTGGTCCGCCCTCCTCTAGGGACGACACTGTGTATAACATGCACACGTGCATTAAAACCATGAAACAACTTTTATTACTTATAAGCACATGTGCATACCGTCAAATTAAATGGTTTAAGACCTATGATCAACTAAAACATTTAATATTATACTCGTAAGTTTATAACCATACAATACGATCGTAGAAAATTTGAAACACAAATTTATATATGACAAATTGAATAAGTTAGACGAATTAGGTAACATCACATATACTTAAAACAACCAAAAATACAGGTCATATCGTCAATGAATTTTTGTCTATTTCTGAACTATACTGATAATCAGATGTATTTTGTAAGCATACTCGTCTTACCTACTAATATATATTTAATGATAACCACATGCAGATGTATTCAAACAATTATATAAAAAAATATGAATTTTAAAATTTAAAATTATAAATAATTAGATAAATTATAAAAAAAAAAAATAGATTTAACTGTAAATTTATGAGTCATTTACCAAACATTTACCCCGATAAGTGTTTATCGATAAAATTCAACACTATCATTTACTTATTGGATTAGATTTTGGTCCAGCAAAACAACATCATATGTAACAATTTACCCAGTAAGCACTTACCATGGTAAGAGTCGTCGCACTTATTTACCGGGTAAGACTGTTGGTCCTTTCCATATTCAACCGATAAGGTGATGTAACTTGGTAAACATTTATCCGGATAAACATTTTATAAAAGGTCCCTTCTTCCCTTTTAAAATGCTTGAATTAGAAGTTTAGTTGAATGATTTATTAGTTGGAGGTGTTGATTTCTGAGTTTGAATTGAGAGGTTTGCTTCTTTAATACAACTCTTAACAAACCCTCATCTTCCCATTGATATGTTGCCATCAATTCTAAAATCATTTGTTTGGTGTATAAAATATATACCCCACACATCATTTCTTAAAACTCCCCTACCCATAAAAATAATCACTTTTTTGCAACTAATTTTTTTTATAACATAAATATTAATTATTTTTTGGAATGTTCAAAAAATACAACCTTTTGCTTTTTAGGTTCTGCAATCCAAATGCTAACATCATTTAAAGCTTTTTATCAACCAAACAAATTTAAAACTTATTCTTAAAGGATCCTAAAAACCATGGTTTTAAATAACTTGTTATGGTCTTGTCATGGTGTTAAGGTTTGGGTTCGCAGTCACGTTAACCCCTATGGCTCCACTTCAAGGTTTGACTTGCATTGTAACGCGTTATGACATGTTATGGTGCATTACGCCGCGTTATTTTGTAAGGTATTGGATTATATTAACATATAACTAAAACCTCGAATAGGTAAATAGATACTTACATTCCTGTACATGAAAATTCGAACACGAATTCTTTGAAAATTGAAAAAAAGTAGTGAGTGTAGATTCAAGTGATTTAATCCTGATTTTGCATTTTTTATATCATTTTTTATAAGCTCTATATATTTGGTATCAATGGCTCTTCTTTCTTTTGTACTTTTATTACTCTATATGAATTTAGTATATGTTAGTTTTATCCAAGAGTGTGTGTGTGTGTATATATATATATATATATATATATATATGATGCCTTAGGGCACGCCTTGAAAAACGTAATGGCTTAGCCGTAACTCGTAAGGCTTGAGGCTTGACTTTGCCGTCACGTCACACCTCACGTCATTTAAAACCTTGCTAAAAACAAGCCCTAAAGTTGTAAAAAGGTAGACATCGGTTAAGTTACCCATAGTCCTTGAACAAAATCCATGTAACTAATGATAACCGAACCTGAGATTAGGGGCAGACCCACATGGAATGATACGGTGACACGAGCACTGCTTCATGGTTCCGTCATAAGGGGTAAAATTAAGTTTCTTAAGGGTGTCACCGTGTTGTTTTATTGAGTGTCATCATATAGCTTTTGAAACTAACATGTTAACACAAAACTTTAATGGTTGAGACGAGAAACACTCCTAAAAATTTTATGTTTACTACAATTTCCCAAAATTTAGCATTTTGACTAGAGACATTTTGATACACTTGAAAATTTCATCTTGTTAAAATTTATTCACGTGCTCGATGACGATCGGTCGGAGGGACAAATGAAGCATCGAGAGTCTTGGATGCTATTTAATGGATACACATACGAGACGAAGAGAAAGAAAGTAGATGAAAACACGAACTAAAATCATAAATTATACCGAATATTTAGAATGTTTTTTTACATCTGAAAGTTTAATAATTTTTCGAATACCTTATAATTTGAATACCTTATAACACTTTTTATACTCATGGTCATGGATAGGGGTGCTCATGAGTTGGGTTGATCAGGTTGAAGACATTTGAACAACCCAATCCAATGCTTGCAGTTTGAAAAATCTTAACCCAAACCAACCCAAACGAAAGTACAACCCAACCCAAACCGTACGGGTTGGTCGGGTTGATACTGTAACAACCCGTCCCACATCGGTTGGTGAGGAGAACTAAGCACTCCTTATA